GATAATGTAAGAAAAAAAAGCAGTGAAAACACCACAGGAAAAGGAACAAATGAATAGCAGAATAATCTCAAAGCATAATTTCCAGCAATTTTAAAACCACTTCACTTTTTTAAAATCTGCTTAAGTCTACTTATTTGTAATAAACACATCATCAAGAATAGAATTGAAAGGAAAATATGAGTGAGGAGACGGTTGATCCTTTATTTTAATTAAATAATAAGCAGTGGAAGTTATAAGCAATTCAAGTTTGTAGTGTAGTTCCTATGTAAAGAGTAACAGCCTCGTGTCTTGCATATGTAAGTTATTTAAATATTAAAATGAATTTATTATGAAAATATTATTTTAGGAACATAGACGTTATGAAAAAACAAACACTATTTTTCTGTCAGTGCTGGGTGGGAAAATACTATTATTGTATTATTGGTACAAAAGATTGTTTCCCTACACGCAAGCTCCAAGATAACGTCTCATTTAATACCTCTCATTGTGGGGTGCAAGGAGAAGGAGAAAGAAACTATGTCACTGTTTGCAAAATAGAATATAAAGATCTGGTAATTTTTTTTTCTAGTCTTAATTGCTTTAATGCTTAAACCTTTAAAAAAAATTGCCATTTCATGGGTGAACTTAAAACCTTATATTATCAACCAGATCAGATTTTAGAAGTAGATAAAAATAGATTTCATATACTGCTGGATCCAGAGGCAATAGCACAGTTACAGTGTGGTGGCACTGAGATGAGACCCTCTGCCCTTTTCCACTGGAAAGTTCTTAGGTGCTATGCACTTGAATCTGGTATATCCAAACAGCAGACCACAACAACAAAAAAAGAAGGGTAAGGTCTAATGAAATCTGTAGTTCTGGTTCTTTATGATCATGAAAGATCCAGATCTCCACCTGTTCTGAAATGTTGTCATCCTTCCTTTCTTTCTTTCCCCCTCTCCCTTTCTCGAAGTGAATGGAATGTGCTCTGTGATATATAGTTCAGTGTAGAAAACATCAGCAGTCTTCATCTTCCCTAGGTATCTTGTACTTAAAAGAATCACTTTTTAACTTCCCATGGCAACTGAAGATTTCTTCTTTCTTTTGTACCTTCTTCTTCACACTGCAGTCACTGTTAATTGTGTGAAACTTTTCCCCACCTCTCTCTCTCTCTCACATACACACACACACGCAGACACACACACACCACCAGCAATGTTCCTTCATACCCTCCAGCCCAGGATCCTCTGTCTCAATTAATTTCAGTGATCTTCACTAAGAATCAGCATTACAAACTGATTTATACTGGCTTTGAACGCCAGTACACAACGTGGTCTTCCTCTTTATTCTCCAAATTCAATGTCTCTCACTTGCTACAATTACCCTTCATTCCTAGGATCCACAAACATAAATATCTTTAGTATAATCTTTTCCACGCATATGTAGGAAAAAAATAATATGAAATTCAGAAGATAGTGAGGGCAATTTGTTAAGTAATGCACTTTCTCATAAAAATAATAATAGTGGGGTAATTAGTAAAGAACAGTGCTGGGGAAGTAATTATGTAGGCCTTAGATGAGCTAAAGAGAGGGAGGAAAGTCTAGAAAACATTATATTCTACAGAAGGAAAATATACCTAAAATTAAGTAAGTTTAAAGCCTCAGACACCTGATTCTCATAAATATGTGAACTGCTATTATAAGTGACTTCCCACTGTTTATTCCTTAATATGAAGAGAGTAAAAACCCATAGAAACTTCAAAAGGAGTTTGTTCTTTCTTTAAGGTCAAGAGTCTACAGAATACATTGGATGTTTGTAAATTTACTCTTATGTGGCAGATCAGTGGGGAGAAACATCCTGATAGAAAATAAGGATATTAAAGGAAAGTCAGGAAGCTCTGATAACATGGCAGCCTGAGCTAATTCAGATCCATCCTAATGTTAGAAATTCACAAAAATGCTAAATTTTAACTCCCCAAATTTAATACATGTTTTATTTTAGAAAGAAGAAATAAAGGGAAATCTAAAGATAAAAATGAAGGTAAAATAGTATGGCACACTCTAGGGCTGGCACCTTGGTGACCCAGTGAATTGGAACATAAATATAGATCGTATGTCTAGGAACTGGGACTTTAGAGCCCAATCAGGGAGAGAAGACGTCAGAGACATCATCCTAAACCTACAAAAGAAGGAGTCTTTTTTGACTAATTGAAAGTATGGAAAACCATAAGACTCTGGATCAATTGTTGTCATCAGTGAACACTCCTTCTAGCTCAGGAACACGCCAAGGAGCCTTGTTTCTTTTCATGCTTTCTGTTGTGAAAAATGTCTCTCATAAGTTGCTGAAGACACAAGCTTACGAATTGAAGTCCAAATGTATGCCATCCATATGGTACAAGGCTTCCCAAGCTAAAAATTGAATGGAAGAGAGGAGGGGAACTGGCCCTGGCTCTTGGAGCCCCCAGAGCATCTAGAAGGACACAGAAGAGTAGTCTGATTAGATACACTGTAAATAGTCAGCCAGGAAAAAGGGTAAGCAGGCAAAATATGTAACCTGATCCTGAGATTACTAAAAAATCTGTAAGAGAATATAAAATAAAAAGGTTTAAATTATTGAAATGTTAAAAAGAATGAATAGAAAAGAGTGATAAAAAGAAAAAATAAAGAAGATGATTATGGGAATTTGTAATAGAAGTAAATAAAGCTTCTAAAAATAAAAAATATATAGAATTAAAATTAAAAATTGAATGGGAGGACTACACAAAAGGAAAAGAGAACAGGTTAATTGAAAGTGTTGAAGACATTACCCAGACTGCAACAAATATGGTAAAACATAAAAGGAGTGTATGAGATGAGGAATATAGACTGTAAAAGTGTTATAGAAATCTGTTAGGAGTATCAGAAGTTGAGAGGAGTGAGAATGGGGAGTAGTAATAGTAAAAGAGATACTGAAAATTTTCAAACGCTGGTAAAAGATATGATTTATCAAGTTAAGGAAGCCCATCATGATAAATAAAATTAAGTCCACACCTGGATAGATCATTGTTAAACTACAGAAACCAAAGAGAAAAAGAAAACAAAGTCTTAAAATAATCCAGAGAGAAAATGCAATTCTCTAGAAAGGAATAAAGATTTTTCAGTTAACATATTTCCTATGAAGTCATGATAGAAATCCAAAGACAATGCACTCATATCCTCATGGTGCTGATATAACATGCCAGTCAACTCAGAATTCTCTATCTAGTTACATCTCATTCAGAGGGGAGGACAAAAAAAATGGTATTTTCAGATAAATAAAGACAGAGTTTACCAATCACAGGTGCTCACTGAGCTACAATAAAATACACTTCAAACAAGAGAGCAACAAAATCAAGGACACTGGGGATTAAAGAGGCAAAAGAGAACAAAAAATAGTGAACGTGTACAAATATAAGTAGCATTATAAAAATCAGGAAGATAATAATTACCAAATGTGTGCAATTGTTTTAAAAAGTAGAACTGAAAAATAAGAAAATAACATAAAAATGGGACAGATGGTCAGAGTTAACATTTTTCAAGTTGTTGAATTTGGGGTAAGAGAATTAAAAACTGGTTAGATTTAATCTTCATTACGTATATGTATTAAACATTGAGGGTAATTATAGCATCATGAATCAGAGTTCTCCAGAGAAACAGAAGAAATAGGATGTACTATATACAGACAGAGATTCATGTTAAGGGATTGGCTCATGTCATTGTGGGCTGGCAAGTCTGAATTCTCCAGGGCAGGACAGCACGATGGAGACCCAGGGAAGAGTTGTTGCAGTTTTGAGTTCAAAGTCAAGTCTGGGGGCAGAATTCCTTTTTCCTTGGGGGACTTTAGTCTTTTCTGTTAAGGCCTTCAACAGATTCATGGGGTTCACTGACGCTATAAAGGATAATCTGCTTTACTCAAAGTCTACTGATTTAAATGTTAATTACATCTAAGAAATACCTTCACAGCAAAATAAAGACTGGTGTTTGACCAAAAAAAAATGGTATCCTAGCCTAGCCAAGTCAACACATAAAATTAACCATAGCAAACAGCTATGCTTTCCAAATAAGCAGAGAGAAAAAAAATGTGTAGACAGGGGGATTTTCAATCAATTCTATGAAAGGCAAAAAAAAGAAAAAAAAACAGAAAAACAGAAGGAAAAAAGGTATAAGTAAAACACAAAATGTGATAGAGTTAAATCCAAATACAATAGTCAGGGTGACTGTTAATAGCTGCCTCAAGAAAAAAACTCCTGAAATCTCAGTAGTTTAATACAATTCAAGTTTATGTCTCATATCACACCCAGTGTGTGGGAGACAACCTTTCTCCATGTTGTAGCTACACAATACCATGTAGCCTCCATGGTTGTCCTAACAGGGAAAGAGAATGAAGGAAGAGACATGCTGGCTCTTACCTGCCTTGGGCACATCTGGTCCCTTGATGAGAAGTCCGCACGTATCTCAATCCAACTATAAGGGAAACTGGGAAGAATACAAGGCCCGTAGAATATCTGATGAGCATTAACTGTCTCAGCTTCAAGTTGTCTTCATAATATATGCAAAGAGATTTAAATGACCAGTTAGATAACAAGGATTTTCATATTGGATTAAAAATGTTTTAACAAATGCACCCATCTGTATATGATGTGCACAAAATACCACTAGTTATAAGGGTACAGAAGACAGAAAATTAAAAATAATAATAATAATAATTTAAAAATAAATAAATAAATAAATAATTTTTAAAAAAATTTAAAAAATAAAAATTAAAAGAAGACTGAAAATGAAGGATGAGAAAAGATACACCAGAGAAACTCTAACTAGAAGAAATCTTGTGTGCTAATACCAAAACAATCAAAATAAGCTTTAAATTAAAAAAAGATTATTAGAAATAGAGTCATCACAATATAATAAAAGGAACAAGTTAGCAAGGAGATTAAAAAATTTGAGCCCAAGAGGTCATAACTATAAAGCCTAAGAATGAATAAAAGCAAATGTTAGAATGAGGCAATCAATACCTCTGTAATAATAGTGGGAGATTTTACCATATCTTTCTTAAAAATCGATAGGCCAAGCAAAGAGATGTAAGGATACAGGAGGTTTGAAAAGTACCATTAAAAAGCTTGATTTAATGGAGTTATAGAACTCTATATCAGTAAGATAATTAATTCTATATGCCATATTAGGTAAAGCTCATGAAACAAACAAACAAACAAACAAAAAAGACCATGAACTCTATCACAAAGCACGTATCAGCAAATCCTAACAATCCAATAGCATCTGGACTAAATTCCCTGATCACAACGCAGTAAAATTAGAAAATTATGCAGAAAGGTTACCCCAAAAATATTTTAAATAAAAAACACACTTCAAAATAATGTGTAAGTCAAAGAAAAAAAATTTGAAAGTACAAAATAGTTTTATACAAAAAATATATGTTAATATTATATATTAATATTCAGCTCTGATATATAAAACTGAAAAGAAATAAAACTCACACACATCAGAATTTGTGGGGTACAAATACAGTGACAGTGAAGTGGAAAATAAAGTCTTAAATGTAGATACTAGGAAAGGATTAGAACTGAAACCAATTAGCTAAAATTTCTGCTCAAGAAGTTAAAAAAGTACAAAGAAAGAAAAATGAAGGCAGAAATTAATGAACTAGAAAAAAATATTAGACAGGATTGACAAAATAGAAAGCTGAATCTTAAACAGGCAACATGGGAACAATTAAGCACAGAGAGATGACATAGTAAAAGGATTAGGAATGAAGAGAAAGAAATAGCTATAGGTATAGTGTTCATTTAATAAATATGGTTTTACTATATAGTACACTAGCAACTATATTCAGGTAAGTTTGAATGCTTCATGGAGTGAACAATAGATCTAAATTTACTCAAAAACAAATAGTAAACCCAAGTAGAACTCTAGTCATTAAATGAATTCAATCAGTAGTTAATAATTTACTTACAACAAAATAACAACATCTACCAAATTTCAAAGACTCATCCAAAGAATTTCTGAAGAATAGAAAAAGCAGGAAAAAAGAGTCCTCAGCTTATTTTGTGAGGCTGGTATTAACTTGATGGCAAAACCCTGTATAGAAAAATATTAAAAGAATAACTATAGGCCAATCATAAACAGAAATGCAGAACTGTAAATAAAATTTTATCAAGCTAAGTCCAAATACATGTTTTTAAAGATATGGACCAATGCAGCAGAAAGTTAGTATCAGTAAAAAATGGGTGATGGGAATATAGATTTCTATATTAATTTCTATCATTATATGGTTAAATATCCTAGTTAAATATCTTACCTGAAATAAAGGAGGAGAGAGAAAGTCAGTTCTGTAATAAGCTCTTCCATGAAAAATAAAAGGAAAATGGATCTACAGCATGCCTGGAAATGAAGCAACCACCTTCAGCCTTTACACCAAAAGCAGCCCTACATTTCCTTTTCTAATTCATGATGCGTGCATATTTTAATTTATTTTCAATTGAGAAGAGAAGTGGATAATTTCAAGCAACAGTCCCCTGACCTACCTCTTCTCTAAACTCAGACCCCTAGGGCAATCGCTTCTAAATTTTTAACTGTTTCTTCTCATATATCTGTTCATATTACGATCATGCTATCATGTGATTCGTTACATTAGGGAATGATCCATTTAATTACTATATGATGAATGACACTCCCTTAGAGTGTGTCCCATCACATATCCCTCCCACCCATTTCCCATGGTACATCACCGGTTAGATCCCTTACTGTTTTCTTTTTAAACTTAAGTAAATGTACTTAGCGCTTTATTTCCTGTTCCATAAATGATGAACTTACAGTCTCTAAGATGAAGGCATTTGAGTTCTCACCTTTCCCTTTAGTTCTCTTTCTTCCCTTCCTCCTCCCAACTTCTACCTGTTTAATTTTCCTACTGTCACATCAATAACATTTGTAATTATCTACAACCATAATTGTTCCATGGTGGAACAGAAGTCTTTTGAGCCATCCCATTTCCTTAAAAGATCCCCTCTGATTGTTTTCAGGGAGGGACGGATGGGGGACACTTGACGTCTGTTTGCCAGTTGCTGTGTGCAAGAGTGAAGGAGAGAGGGGCACTCTGTTCCATAAAATGACTTGTCATGAATTATCTTTAATCTCATGACTCTCATCCTTTACCTTACCTGTTGTCTCTGAGGTCTGGCCTTCAGATTCTGTTTGTCTCCTTCCTGCCTTATACCCAGCTGAGCAAGTTGAGGGTAAAATACCTACAAAGGACTAAGGGGGAGTAAGTAGCTAAAGACCCACGTTGGTGTGGTTAGGAAAGGGTGTCCCTCCTGCTAAAGGGAAGATGCCTCTGCTGAGTCATACACTTTCTTCTGTCTTCTTCTCTTTCCTCCGTCACAGTTTTGTTTCCCACTGATCTCCCCTGAACAATTACTCCATTTTACTTTGTCTCTTGGTACTGTTTTCTGAAAACAATCAGTCTTTTGCTCAAAATTCAAATTCTAAATTAAACAATTCAGATTTCTGAAGAGTCTTTTGTTTACTTACTGTATGTTTCAATTCCTCATGGGAAGGGTGTGTCCAGGGCCTCCACTAACCCAAAAGACTGTAGGCGTTTGGAGAATCAGAAAAAGGCATCCCACTGGGCAAGACACGCCAGGGCACACAGCCCGGTGAGTAGTACCCTGGCCAGTTCCATCGCTTCTGGGTGTGAACCCTTGGGTCAGATGCCAGCTGTACAGCCCCAGCATCCACAGCATCTGGGGCTCTGAAGGATGCTGTGACAATGCTTGTTTTCCTCTCTGCACATTCTGCTCCCATGGCCCGCTGCTGCCGTTTCACTGCGAGGTGACTATGGTGTTCTATGTTTTTCCTACTTCCTTTCCTCAGAAAAGAATATCTCCAGAATTAAAATTTATGCTGAAAATAGAAGCCGAGTGGACAGAAACATGGATAACCCCATGAGAATTTCACTTTCATGAGTTCACAAGTACTATTCCCAAGTAATTTTCATTAGGTAACACTTGGTATATAATAGCTGATCACTAAATGTAAATTGCCCCCTCCTGTCTCCAAACATTGATGCTAGGAATCTAGAAAGGCTAGGATGCTCCAGATTTCCAGAATGGACAAGATATTCATATTGCCATGAGAGATAGGAAAGATCAAAGGAAAAATAAAATTACTTTCTTTCTCTGGTTGTTTTGAGATCACTTATGAATTTTGAAAGTAGATGACTTGTAGGATTTTTTTTAATGATTAGAATTAGGTTCAAGTGATGTGCCAGAATTTCCTAATCAAGTTGCAGGAAGAAGATAGCAGGTCAGAAGTTGAGGATTTGAAGATCAGTCTCCAAGTTGAGTGCATATTGCTCATGTGTTGAGCTGTGTCAGCTAAAGTAGTACTTTTTTAAGAAACACTGTGCAGTCTATTCTGATCCCTCTCTTGGCTCAATTCCTATAGTAAATATCATCCCCAAAGCTTAGAACTTAATTTTTTTAATCTGGTTTAATATTCAGTCTCCAATTTTATAAGATAATTTCTTACCCTTCTTTGATACATCTATGGTGCTTATAATAGGTGCTTCTGAACTGTTTATTGATATGAGGTGTTAAGCATGTCCACATTTTCAAATTTTTAAGTTTTAAAATCTCTTTAACCACACATTTATCATACTTAATATATAATAGCATTATGAAACACATAGGAGCAGAGATAAATAGAATTCTTGCCTGTCCTCAAACTAGAAATAATCATTTACGTTTTTATTATTTGTCATGCTAATAAAAATAATACTTTCCAGCTTTTACTAACATAATTTATTCTTTTCCTTTACTATAATTTTTCCTTTCCTTATTATTATTTTCCTTACTGTTATTTCATATTTGTATTATTATTCCTAGTAATTTCTTCTTCTTTATTAGTTTTTTTTTTTTGAGTCCTTATGGTATTCCAGATTCTTTCAACATCACTGGTATTGGTCAACAAATTATATAGTTAAACACCATGAATCTTACAATAGTATGATTAAACACTAAGGTATTTCTAATGAGTAATTGTTTAGAAATGTGGTCATATCTTCAGTCTATCTTATTTAATATTTGCTTTGTGTAATTGGATGAACCAAAATACATAAAGAATACTTGCAAGGTCATTTTTGAATTTTTATTTCCTATGTAAAGGACTGTGCAAATATTAGCAGAATACACATTGAATTCAAAAGGCCCAATAAAATTTAGTGGCAGTCAAGTTTTAAACTTTAACTCACATATACCTTGTATTTTATTCTGTCAACCCTTACTTAAAAGTCATTCAAACAGTAATTTTACCTTCTTATTAATATGTGTAATCACTAGAATTTAAATTTTATACCAGTGCAGTGTTAATGGAAAAATAGTATAAATCTGTAATTGGTATGACAATTGAATCTGTCAGTAAAACTGGTGAGCATTTTTCTCCATCAGCAATTCAGCAACCTATCTAAGAGCTGAGTGATTCATGCAAAAACAAATATGGAAAAGTCAGTGAGGATCTAAGTTACATACAAAAATATTGAATCTGTGTGTGGAAACAGTATTCATTAAGTCACCTCACTTCTGCGATTTTCTTTGTACATGATACACTCATTTGAGTCAATAACTAAAAAATCTATTGGAAATAGAGAAACAAACTTCTATTTTATTACCTAACATTTGATGTATTTAAAATTTCAAGGCATGAGTTGACACAACATTGTAAAATGACTGTAACTCAATAAAAAATGTAAAAAATAAAATAAAAATAAAAAAATAAAAATTCAGGGCATAAAGTGTTAAAAATGAAATCAAAGAGTTTTTCATCAGTCAGCAACACACAAATTCTTTGGAAGGATGCTATAATGCAATATAAATCTAAACTAATTTTATTCAAGGCAGCAATGCTCTCAGACCTGCTATTTGGGATTTCCATCTATAGG